ACAAGCAGATTCTATGCTGATTGGGCCAACTCACCAGATCGTAAGAGTATAACAGGCTATTGCTTTAAGCTAGCAGACGGTAACCCAATAATCAGCTGGAAATCGAAGAAACAGGGAATGATTTCACTTTCTACTTGTGAAGCAGAATATATTGTATTATCAAAAGCAACACAAGAGGCTATTTTTCTTAAATTACTAATAAAAACAATCACAGCACTGGTAATAACTGAGCCAATAATTATTTACTGCGACAATCAGTCCAGTATTGCTTTGGCCAGAAATCCAATAATACATCAAAGATCAAAGCATATCGATATCAAATATCAATTTGTTAGGGACCAAGTACAAAAGAAAACGGTACAAATTGAATATGTTCAATCGGGAAATAATATGGTAGATTTATTTACAAAACCAATTACGAAAATCAAATTACAGGCTTTCACTTCTGCCATATTTGGTACTGACCAATAAGGTCCTCATTGGTCCTGGGCAAGACGTAAAACTGCATCCATTAAGTCCTTGTTAGTCCTCATTGGTCCTGGGTAGGACGTAAAACTGCATCCATTAGTTACTGTCCTAAGAAGCGTCAGTTCAGTTTTTGGTATGAATGTAAGTCCTTAGTTTCGGGGTATAAATGTAAATGGCCCTACTTTTAGCCCAAATCTACTTTCTAAATGATTCTTTGGATAACTCTGACCCGGAGTGATAGTAACTGTTTTAATAGGTCCCAGCTATGGATAAAATAACAAGTTTGTACTTTCTAAATGATTCTCTGGATCACTCTGACCCGGAGTGATAGTAACTGTTTTAATGGGTCCCAGTTATGGGTAAAGTAACAATTCTTTCCACTTTTTGTTGTGATCGCGGTCTGAACTTATAATATTGTTATAAAGTGATATGACTAATTTTTGTGGATACTAATTTTCATTAAGAAATAAAATTTAGAATACTAAAGCATTTGTTACATATTAATATTAACTTAAAAAAAATATATATAATTTTTGGAATTAAAGTATTTATTAACTTTACTAATATTTTGAAGCAAGATTCCAGAATATACCCAAAATAAGGGGGGCTGTTACGGTTTTTTTTGTATATACTGTATGTGACTAGTGAGCGAGTCAAAATTACTTATTTCCCTTTATAGTCGACCAATAGAAGGTTGACCAATCAGAAGCCGCACACCACTGTATCCGTCGTGTATAAAGGCGGCCATCTTTGTTTTGCTACTGGAATGACCAGAGGCAACTTGTCCGGCGAACAGGACAGACGGAAGAACTACGCTCTGCTACCTTGCTGCGATATCCACTGCGAACCTGCACTACGCTTTCCTACTGTCTCCGAAATATTCACTGCCAACCTCTGGATTCTATACTCGAAGACGACCGTCATGAAAATGTCTAACAATAATGCCACTAAGACGCAAGGGTATACAAGGAGAGAAAGAGATTGAGAAATCTTTAGCGAGGAGAAGTGACAAAAAGGACGATAAAGGATCAGAATTCAGGAAGACAGAAAATAGCGATTGACGTTGCATTTAATTTTTTGAAGATTTTATTTAGCTGCGAAGAAAGAAATCGGAAGGAAGTTCCACAGGTGAGAAGTGCGAGTAAAGGAGCTGCTAGAACAGAACCAATGTAGCTTGTTCAAGAGTAAAACGTTGAGACCTATTGGCCAATCTAGTCGTTTAAATTAGTGCACTCGATATGATAACTTCAGAGACCGATGCAATTTGTGCATTAAAGAAAAAATCTTAATAATAAAATAAGGATCCGGACATACTGCTGAACAAGCATTACGAGTTGATTTGTAAATGCAGACATAAAACCACCTCAACTTAACGAAGTATGTTTAGAAACAACTATTTTAAAAGGGAAAATATTAATTTTGTTTTTTGAAATGAATGTATGTATACATGGATGTTATGCTTGTTGATATGTACGCAGATGAACATTTATATGTGAATTTATCTATTTATTTATATATATATATATATATATATATATGTATGAACGTTTTGGATAAGGGTGCCTATGTGATACTCTTTTAATTGTGGGGCACATGTGTATGGAGGTATGGTGTATATGTATCGGTATATATATATGCATATGTGTGAGTATAAATATATAAGTATGGGGTATGTTTAATACTAACGTTATTTTTGGTGCTAGGTATCATTGTATATATATATATATATATATATATATATATATGTGTGTGTGTGTGTGTGTGTGTGTGTGTGTGTGTGTGTGTGTATTTTGCATATGTGTGGATGTATGTGTACAGGCGTGTGTTTGTGAATGTGTATAGGTGTATGTGTATGTATTTTTGTGTGTATGTACGGATATATATATATGTATACATATATTTATATATGTGTAGTAATTTGAATATTTAATCTGTACATGTACGTAGATGTATATACTTTAGAATTAATATTTGTAATATATTTGTGATTAGATGTATAACATTGTAATATAAATACATATGCATGTGTGGATAGTTATGGGTAGAATTTTTATATGCTTTTTTGTATATAATCGTGTGTAGGTATGTAGGTATTTATATATATATATATGTGTGTGTGTATATATGGTTGTATTGTATATAGGGTGTATATATGTATATATATACCTATATGTATATATGTATATGTGGATGGATGGATAATTAGATAGATTATTAATATATATATATATATATATATATATATATATATATATATATATATGTATATGTCTATACGTGTATGGAATATTTTTAAATGGAAGTACTTGGGTCATTCTCTTGGTATTTTAAAATTGCTTTTTCTCTTTTAATGTTCTATAATTTATTTTGGAGAGTGTATTTTTATCTTCTTAAGGGAGTTTCATATTAAAATTGATAATTTTAAATATCCCACTCTTTAACTATTAATAGTAATAATAATATTAACGAAATTCCTTTAATAATGAAGCACTTCAGAAGTCACTTAAAGTTAAACTTTAACTATAAAATCAAACTAAAATCTAAATAAATTTCAAACGTTAAAATATAGGTAATGATTGAGAAATGTATGTGTGTATATGTAATTTATGTATGAAGATGGATGAACATTTGTGTATATTGTTGCTCGTGTGTCTATCTGTGTATTTGCACATGTAAATGGACGTATGTATATGTGGATTTGCATGAATATGTTTTTGTGAGATACATATAAGAAGAAAACAAAATCTTTAATATTACCCTCAAATATTATTAAATAATGAAACCTAAACCTTAATTAAGTTTACCCATATAATAATAAAGAAAAATTGCATTCATGAATTAGATTTAAAGTAAAACTAATATAGATGTTATTGTTACCAAAATTTTTTACAATATTATGAAAGTACAATTGGTCGGGTAAATAAACTATTATAATTTTAAATATTTCTTTAATATGTTCTCGATAAATGTGCTAATAAAAGTAGTAGTTAACTTATATTAAATCCCTAATGTGCTAATAAAAATAGTAGTTAACTCATATTAAGTCCCTAAACTATTTACTTAAAAAAACTAAATGTTTAAATTGATAACATTCATCATTTTTTCGACATCTAAATTTCTATCAAGCATTGAAATCTATATTTTACATAATTTTGTTAAAACAAAATTACAGCCTTTTCTATTCACTTCCCTCTCCCCCTCTCTCTTTGCCGTAAAACTCATTTAGATATATCTGTATTACTTGTCTGTCTCCTCTCTTTTTTCCATTTTTCCTTTTCTTTTCCCCCACTACCCTCCCATTCCTATATATCATTTCCGTTAAGTTAACCATCTAAATAGGTCACGATTAGGTCACTCCTCCTACCCCAATATAAAACATGCTTAAGAGAAATATGAAATTTACCCCTCTCTATACTATACCTTGTCTCGTTGACTACAACGATCACCCTCCCTGTTAAATTACAAAAATTACACTACCCATCAATTTCTAATTCCAATTTTCCTTTCATTTCCTGTTACCTGATGACCCGGAGTCCTTCAAAAAGGATTTTGGTGAAATAAATTATTGTAATGGTACCTTAAAGTGGTCTGTTTTTTTTATATATATTATATATATATATATATATATATATATATATATATATATATATATTGAATACAACAGACAAGGTATTTTTGTTTTTTTTTTTATACAATTTCTCATATGATCTAATTTTTTTCAGATGATAAATTATATAAAAAATGTCCGGATGTTCTTTTTTTTTCCGAGCGCTTTCGGCTATACATTTAACCATTTTCAAGGATGAAATATTTTAACTGTTAAATAAAAAATAAGAAATATATACCCGAAAGCGCCCGGAAAAAACAGCATTCGGACAGCTTTTATATAATTTATCATCTGAAAAGCAATTATTCGATCATATGAGAAATTGTATAAAAAAAACTAAGTCAAAGCACGTTGTCTGATGTATTCAATGAAATGTGCAAAAAATGAAGGATTGCTGCCTAAATACACACACACGCACACACCCATATATATATATATATATATATATATATATAAATTACACGCACACACATATCCTTTGTAAGCCACTTGACCAATTTGAAATTTTCATTATTGCCATGGGCAGATTGCTATCTTTTATTCGCCGCGTCATGGCATAAATTAATTCTGACAGATCCGAGATCTTACGAATTTCCTATCTTCTGCGAAAAAAATACTTTTCTTCGCAATGAAAATAAAATCTCTACCCACCCCCCCAAAAAATAACATCGCTCAGTATGTCTTTCGTGATAGCTTGTTCTCGCCTTAAGTATTTCTCGCTTTTAATTTCCACGCTTAATTTGTTAGCCAAACGCTAAATAGTGTCACAGCGGTGAAAAAGCTAACATTACTTCAATATACTCTTCCCTAGACCATTTATTTATTGTTCTTTCAGTGAGATTTTCTTTTAGGGAATCTAGAGGGCTCCTGTGAGGACTTTCCTCGGCCCTGTACCGGTTGCTCGGTGCCAATCCATCTTCCGAAGGTACGGATCCATTTTGCCGACTTCCCTTACCTACATTGATGCCATCGACGAGAGGCTGTACACCTTGGAGACCTGCTGCGGATGGTGGGTACGGACCGACTCGAGAGCTGCGAAAACCGGACCCGGATTTTCCAGGGCCGCCGAAAGCGCATCGGACGCCGCCCGAGCCGCGGCGCTCTACAGGTACCTTTTCCGTATCTCCGGACGAGTTGATTTCATGGACACGGTCCTTTACGAAGAAGAGAGAACTCTTCCCGGGGCTCTCGGCGACGTCTCCGGGTTCGCTTGTGTCACCGCGGTTTCGTCCGAGTAGCGATGAGATGCCACCGACATCGCTGCCAGCAACGCCGCCACCCCGGGCAGCGTGTTTTTTCTCTAATTCTTGTTGGGTAGAGTTTGTTCCAGTTGCAAACTCTTCGATCCCAATCTGGTTCCGATCCGTTTTAGTAATATCGTTGTGTCAACAGTGTAGTTATTTCGTATTTACCCAAAAGTAGGGGCTGGCCCGTGGGCGCCAGATCATATCCATACTATAGTGGACCATCCCATTCAGGGGGCCAGACCTCCTCTTGCTAATTTTTTTTTTCTTTTTTTACTATTGCTATTATGAACAGCAACGGTAAAATCTTTGTTTATAAGCGTTTAAAACCTAAGGAGATACGATGTGTTTCCCCAGATTCCTACATAATTTCAATTTTCAACAGAATTTTCTTTGAATTTTTCTATCTTATATTCAATTCAATCATATGAAGCTATATTCAAATCTCCCTAATCCTGCTATTACACAAATATATTTTACTCATAAATACAGGTAATATATAGTTAGTAATAGTATTTAAAGAAAAGTTTATTATAAGTGTTTGGACTGAATAGCTCATAAAATAAAAATTGTATATAATCTACTAATAAATAAATAACAAAAGAACATTAAAAAATAACGAAGTCACCATCAATACAATCACCACCACCACTACCATCATCTCCTTTACTACCACTACCATCACTACTAATATTGCTTCCCTCTTTGTTCTATCTATCTATCTATCTATCTATCTATCTATCTATCTATCTATCTATCTATCTATCTATCTTTTCTTTTCTATCTATCTATCTATCTATCTATCTATCTATCTATCTATCTATCTAAGACAAAAGACAGCGAATCGGTCGTCGAGTGCATAATGATTTAGTTTCTCTCCACCTCTTTGTTTTCACACACTCACTCTCTCCCTCCCTCTCTTACCACCTCTCTTTCTCTCTTTCCATCTATGATTGCGTGATTTCAGCTTTCATTAAACAAACAATATTTTAAATATCAAAACAAAAACAAATTTTTGCCATATTTAAAAACACATTTTCAAGTGAATATGCTTTAAAAATATTTCCTGACATATTAAAAAATATAAGTGAATAAGATTAAAAATACGAGTTGTTTATAAAGTAAGTATCTTTATTTCAACTTTCTTCAGCAGATAATTTCTTTCTTTCAAAGTTCAACTTCAGTGTGTTATAAGCTGAAGCTTCAGTGACCGCTAGTCTTGTCAGTAATAAGTGTCAAGGTCTTGAAGGAATATTGCGTCGGCCATGATTACGTGAACGAAGTAGAAAAAGGGCTACAATAATGTACATATATATATATATATATATATATATATATATATATATAGAGAGAGAGAGAGAACAGACTTATATATATATATATATATATATATATATATATATATATATATATATATATATATATAATATAATAATCATTATTATTATTCCTACAATTGTTTTTATTATCATTATTATTATTATTATTATTATTGAATTCTGATTCAATTCTTCTTCCTATCAGCAGTATCCGTTCTGTAACTTTCAGCAATTTGCTTCAATGACTGCTACCAGGAGGAGACGCTTGTGTAATTCAAACAAAGACGCCGTTAAGAGAAACAGTTAAGCCCCTCTTCCCCCTCAAAAAATCCTTGAAGCAGCAATGATGGCAACTACAATGGCAATGATAACAATAACACATCGGTCACTTTTGAATGCTGTAATTTTCGGAGTTAGCTCTTCCTTAATTTCCTAACTGTTCACTAGGGGTCGCTCTCCCTACACTATAAATACTGGGCGACTTATCGCTTCGTTCTCTTTTTCACTTTGCTTTTCAGCGAACACATCTTCAATGTAAGTTCTCTTAGAAGATAAGCGTCTCCCCACTTGTGGGAAGACGCCGTGAACATCATAAACACATACACGTACGTACGAACATACACCAGAATACAAACTCTTTACGTTCACACACAAACACAAATGTTATTCTTTATCACTTGAAAAATGGTTGTTTAATACATATATTTGTTGACATATATATATATATATATATATATATATATATATATATATATATATATATATATATATATATCGGTCTTCATTTTTTTTCTTTACATCTTCAGTTGGACTCAAACTGGGTCCGCATTGTTCTTGTTGTTAGACCTTCTTCTACCAGGAAATATACGCACGTGTATCCAATTCAACAACACTCAAACCCCTACGGTTATCTGCATAATAACTTCAAAAAGTGTCTTTAAATTAAAATATCATTAATCTTACTTATTATAAAACGCAGATTGTGTGTGTGTGTGTGTGTGTGTGTGTGTGTGTGTGTGTGTGTGTGTGTGTGTGTGTGTGTGTGTAACGTTTATATATTGGATCGGATTTCCTACATTTTTTAGCCGATTTCAACAAAACTTCACAGGACTACATAAAATTACCTTGTGGTGGTTCTAACAGCGCCGAAAATGGGAAAAACACAATTGTTTTTTAACAAAATCAATTTGAAAACACGATTAAGACACATCGTGAGAATGAAAGGGGGACAAATCACATCGGGTTAAAAAACCCAGGTTGTTTATGTGTGTGTGTGTGTGTGTGTGTGTGTTCCTTTATATATGGTATCGGATTTCTTACATTTTTCAGCCGATAAAACAAACATCCACTTTCTTTTTTGGAAGGTAGTGTTTCTTATTGTCTTGCACACTTTTTTCTTTATTTATACATTCAGAATGCTTAAAAAATTCCATTTACAAGACAATTGTTTATAATAAAATTCTAATTCTATTCAATCGGGGGACTCATCATAACAATTGAAAACAATGTTTTTGTTTGAGTTTGGCTTTGACCAATTCATAAAAAAAAACAAAAAAAACTAAGACATGCGTGTCCGTCAACCTAAACAATAATCTAACGATCTCTACTGACTGTACGAATCGAAAAATCGGATAATTCTTTATCTTTAGGTAAAGATAATTCCACGTACTTTAGGGCCGTTTTTACAATTCCCTTTGCAATTTGTTACAAGGCAGATCAATAAGGCATTGGTTCTATTTGAAATTAATTCAATATTTAAAAGAAAGTATTAAGAAATAATTTAAAAATACCGACGTAAGAAATTTGATGGACAAAAGACAACATTATTTTGAAGATGATTATTATTAAGGAAAGAACACAGTACTTGTAATAAATTAATAAACCCAAATAAAGTTAATATTTTTTGTATTAGAAACAACGAGTGGAAAATATATTCAAATCAGAATTCTAATTATGAATCACCACAAGCAAAATATGCAATTTTTTTTTACTGTATTCAATAAGTAAAAATCATAAATTGTAAGACTAAAAGATTACAGAAAGGCTACCTACATTTTTCAACCGATTTGAACAAAAACAAAATTGTTTATAAAATTATTCTATTCAATCGGTAGAGACGCATAACGATTATTGAAAACAATGTTTTTGTTTGAGTTTGGGTTTGACCAATTCGTAAAAAAAAAAAAACTAATTAAGACATGCGTGTCCGTCAACCTTAAACAATAATCTTTGTCAATTTTATTTTTCAGTCTTTATGATGGTGGATACTTGATCTATCTCTTATTGTTATATCCCTGGCAAATCTACTAAAGTTTAATATATATTTTTGGTAATGAATATATATATATATATATTTTAAATATATAATATATATAAATATTTAAAATATATATATATAAATATAATATATATAAATATATAAATATAATATATATAAAATATATATAATATATATATATATATAAATATAATATATATAAATATTTAAATATATAATATATTTTAAAAGTTTGTAATTTTAAAATTGAAACTAAAATTTAAAGTTAAATTGAATGAATTCTAACCTAAGTTTCTTTTAAATAATACTACACGCACTAAAAAAGAATCCCAAAAAAGCAAATATAGTAAAATAAAATTAATATGAAATGCCATAAGATGTAAGTTTTTGAATGACCCATGTCCTTTGTACTTACATGAGAAACATTATATCACTAGGTTTATATATATATATAAAAAAAAAAAAAAAAAAAAATAACCTCATATACATACTTAAACTTGAATTAATACATAAAGTTTACTAATTCTGAGAAATGACTTAGATAGTTTTGTAGTTCTGGGCCATTAATATTACTTAAATAATATCTAAATTAAAAGTTTAAAATTGTAATTTACATATACTTTGATAGGAAAAATTTTTTTACTTACTATGAGTAATTATCCTTCTGTTATAAAGTAATATAGTCTCAAATTAAAACAAACAATGAAAATATTTTAAAATTTTAAAGTTATAATTTTAAAATTTTAAAATTGAAATTAAAATTGTAGTAAAATAAAATGAATTCTAACATGTTATTTATACATACATATGAAACTTTATTAATTAGGTTACATATATTTGAAATAAATAAATTAATTAATTAATAAATAAATAAAGTTTACTAAATCTGAGAAATGACTTAGCTAGTTTTGTAGTAAGTGCCATTAATATTACTTAATATTTAAATTTAAAAAGAAAAAAAAAAAAAAAAAAAAAAAAAAAATTTACATATACTTTGATATGGAAAATAATCTTATTTAATATGAGTAACTTCTGTTTAAAGTAATATAGTCTATTAAAACTAAACAATGAAAATATTTTAAAATTTTAAAGTTGTAATTTTGAATTTGTAATTAAAATTGTAGTTAAATTGAATGAATAACCTAAATTTCTTTTAAATAATACTACACGCATTAAAAAGAATCCAAAAATAACACCTATAGTAAAATAAAATTAATATGAAATACCATAACATGTAAGCTTTTGAATGACCCATGTCCTCAGTACTTACATGTGAAATATTATAATAATAGGTTTATATATAAAAGAAAAGTTTACTGAATCAGTGAAATTAAGTAACCATTTCTGCTGTCATAGTCATATACAAAAAAAAAAAAAAAAATGTAACCTCATATACATACTTAAACTTAATGTTAAAATAATCCTACATAATATAATGGATTCTAATACATTTAACTGTTCTTAAAAAGAATAGTAAAATAAAAATTAAAAAGGAAAATATTTCAAATCGTAGTTAAATAAAAAGTAAAAAAAAAAAATCTTTAATTTTAAAAGATGACGTTGAAAATTTTTTACCGTTTTTTTTTTTTTTTTTTAAATTCAGACGACATCCATTCAACTGACGTCAGGTTTCAGTGTAAAATACATCCTCACCCCTTACCAAAATGTTAATAACTGATACAATGATACTGTCATAAGGAAAATCTAGACACCCCGTGTTCAATTTGAGTAGAATATTCTGTAACCATGGAAAAACGATTTTAGCTGTGTATTTAAACCCGGTAAATTTTAAAGTTACTAAAAATTCGCTTGAAGATGAAATAGAACTAATTCTTTTAATTTATTTGCAAAATAAAATTAGGGTTTTTAGCTTCTATTTTTGAAACATGGTTGAACTGTGTAGCGAAAATAACCATATTTTTAAATCAATTAATTTATAATATAATGCTTTGTAAATTTATATTAGCACTATTTGAAAAAATAAAATATATAAGAATATATTATATATCTAATGTTCTTTTTTATATATATATATATATATATATATATATATATATATATATATACATATTCTTTTATTTTTACATATATATATATATATATATGAGCAAATTTTATATATATATATATTTCCGGGAATTTAATAAGAATTTAAATAACTTTTGATTTATAGTGAAATAGATTTAAATTAAAATCAGTTGGATATTTACGTTGAGTGATACTTACGATGAAATATAAATTTCAGAAAATGAAATGATACAAAATA